TAATTATTCAATAGTTTTATGTAGGAGTAATCGAAGTAAGTTAAGGACAAGATCTATGAACAAAATATTCTAACAAATGTTTTATTAATTATTCAATAGTTTTATGTAGGAGTAATCGAAGTAAGTTAAGGACAAGATCTATGAACAAAATATTCTAACAAATGTTTTATTAATTATTCAATAGTTTTATGTAGGAGTAATCGAAGTAAGTTAAGGACAAGATCTATGAACAAAATATTCTAACAAACGTTTTATTAATTATTCAATAGTTTGTGTAGGAGTAATCGAAGTAAGTTTAAGGACAAGATCTATGAAGCTTGTAAAATATTCTAACAAACGTTTTATTAATTATTCAGTAGTTTGTGTAGGAGTAATCGAAGTAAGTTTTAAGAACAAGATTTATGAAGCTTGTAAAATATTCTAACAAACGTTTTATTAATTATTCAATAGTTTATGTAGAAGTAATCGAAGTAAGTTTTAAGGACAAGATCTATGAACAAAATATTCTAACAAACTTTTATTAATTATTCATTAGTTTGTGTAGGAGTAATCGAAGTAAGTTTTAAGAACAAGATCTATGAAGCTTGCAAAATATTCTAACAAACGTTTATCAATTAATTAATAGTTTGTGTAGGAGTAATCGAAGTAAGCTTTAAAGACAAGATCTATGAACAAAATATACTAACGAAAGTTTTATCAATCATTCAATAGTTTATATAAATTTCTCTTTTATTTTAACTTATATTTAATAACATCACTATAATCATTATTGTTGTTGTTTATTGTTCTAATCATCATTTACATATGTATATAGGAATAAATGTAAAAGAAAAATTAATATTTAACACTTGACGATCTTCAAAAATCATATGACTGTAAAATTTTTATTGACTTGCACTATACATTCGAAACTACCTTTTAACAATAAACCAAATGTTGAAGAAATTATTCTAATAAATTAAATTGTGCTACTTGAAGATGTATTTAAAGGGTTGGTTTTCGACTTGGTCGAAGGACAACTCTCTTTTCTAACTCTTCTCTTGACCATATCTCTTGATATAATTCGAAACTACCTCGATATAACATGAGGCATACTGCAGCAAAACCAAAGTGAACTTAAAAATTTCAGTCATTTTTTCTACAAGAGAAATTTTTTCTTTATTATATATTTCTAAACCCTTATACATTAAAATGGAATCAAATAGGTGGGTGGATTTTCAAAATAATTTTTTTCTCATTTTCCATATGAAAACCGTGAAGATCGTTTTTTTAACGTTTTGTCTGATAGTTTTATTAAACACGAATTTATCAACAGCTGTTGAAAAAAGTTATAGTCAGTTGGGGGTCATGTTGCATTGTGCAAATATTAATATCAAAAAGAAAATACTTACTGCCCATTTAATTATTGCCTCATAAAAGTAGACAAAATCTTCGATTTCAGAAAAATCCTGCGGAACAGTTGCATTATCAATTTCAACAAGGTGATAACATCCTATTTTATACATGTAATAATATTTCAATTTAAGTTATCATCTTTCAAATATGTGTGATTGTATAAAAAACAAGTCATATACCAGCAAATCGAAGCACATATAGATGCATCTCAAGTTTATAACTAGTTCGCAAAAGACTTCAAATTCTGGTATTATCACCTTTCGTTTTCCTATTCTATCTTTTATGATATTGAAAAACATCTTTTTCAAATTTTTTGCAACCTTCACACGGTCATCTATTTCTTTCTTTTCTCTGACATTATGTGGACAACTCCCTTCAATATATACTAGTTGATACTTGTTGACATCATTTGTGAAACCAATTCCATCGCCTTTTTTGTCTATAGATATTATGAATTGAAGTTACTTCACCACTGACAAGATTTGGTAATAATAATTAGAATGATATTCAGAATTGCCATAAATACAAGAGTACAGGAGGAAATTTATTTACAATGTGTAATAAATGTCAGCACAGTACATCAAAGCAGCTTTCAGGCATGGATATACAAAATCATTTAAATGACACTGCTCTAGAGTCTTTATATTTTGAAGTAGGTTGGAATGTCCAAGAGAAAAAGCCTGTAAACTAAAAAAGCAAAATAGATTTCATTAGTAGTGTTCATTGGTAACAATCTTCTCCCAAAGCATAAGAACAAAAAGTAAACTATATACAAAGTATCAAAAGTTTTTTTTATTATTCTTATTGCCATTTGAGTTACTTTGTCAAACTTTTGATATTCAAGTCATCTAAAACATTTAGCCATTGTCGATATGTCAAGCCTATACATGCTATGGTAATTATTTTGCCAAAAACGTAATACGTAATTACGAAATTAATTACGAAATTAATTACGGGTGACAAAATCAATTACGTGTGACAAAATCAATTACGAATGACGAAATTAAATGACACCTATTATTTATCTCGTTATACTAGTATAATGACATAATTTGACAACTTTTTTTAGAAATATAGAATTTATTCTGTTATAACAACATGTCAGTATAATGGAGAACCAATCAAAATCATTC